TGCATGCTCATGCAATGTTCTTTGCAATCTTTTTTAAAGTAGGATAATCTTTTTTATACAGTTATAAAGTTTTTATACAGCTTTATTCCATTTTTTTATACGTGTTTAGTTGTTTTCAGGAAAGCTGCTACCTGCCAAGAGTCAGCCGTCAGTGCAGCATTAGTTTTTACACCCTTTTCAACAAAGCATAACATATGGAACTCACAGCAAACCATGCAAAACCGAGCAGTTACCCCCACCCATTGCAAAGTCTGGCATTTCAACAATGCCGTCTCATCTCTTTCCTCTGAAGCCATTTCTTCTGAATATCTCCAGGTTCTCACAAGTTTGTGTCACTACTTTTTACAATAGGAACCCACATGTATTATTTGCAGTATTCTCTAAGTCTTTATTTTCTCCTTCTCTTATAGTCTCGCCTTACAGGTCTCTTTCTGACTGTCCCAGCATTTGAAATAGGCTCCCACTTCTTACCATGGAGGTGTTGCCTGCCCTGTGTTAATGTATTTCAATGAAATCTCCACGTCTTCCACCTCCTGAACCACTGCACTGACTACATTCCTGCCTGGACAATAGTTAATTAATTTGGAGTTTGCTCTGTGTTGTAGTAGCACTAATTTTGTTCAGGACATTAAAAAATTAACAGGAATGGTTACGTAAAGTATTGTGTGATGTCTCCTGTAGTGAAAGTTAGCAGAGTTGGGCTTTGCTGAGGACAGGTAATTCAAAACTTTAAATAACCACGGTAAAGCTCACAAATGTGTTTGAGGAGCGCTTTCTAACATGTGCCGTTTGTGTATTGGATATTTAGCTGTTTAAGGCAAAAAATGTTATTTTAATTTTACTTTTGTGTAAATTAATTTAGAAAAAGCTTAGAAGGTACATCATTGATCCTAGTAATCTCACTTCTAGGATTTTACTTCACAACCTCATATACTGCAACATTGAAATACATTTTATTGAAAAGTGAGTCCGGGACATAGGTGCAGTGATAAAATTTTTTAAAATACATGTCTGCTTAATAGGAGAACCAGATCACACAAACCATTCTAGGGAGAAAGGCAGAACTTAAAACATCAGCAGTTTTAAGAGTGGAACACTAACTTCTTCAGCGTACCAAATCAGCAAAATTTACAACAAACTGTAATTCATCTACTAGGATCCTGGGATCTAACAGTTGGAGGATAGAGATAGCAATAAGTAATAGAAAATAAACTTTGCAGTAAGCCAAAACACAAAGGTCTGATGATCATGCCATCTTGGGATTGAAATGAACCATATGAGGGAACATATCTTTTGTATTTCTGGTTATAACAACTTACAGATTCTTCCTTTTAAAACTTCTATCATTTTAATCGTAAACTTTTCCAAATATGAAGTAATGAAAAACAAAGCAGATTCCACCCAGGTGTGGGTGAAGATGCTTACATAGCCCGAATTCCAGGCTTTCATTTGCATATTAACCAATTTTAAGGCGAGCTCATAATGTTCGTTGCCCCATTCTCCTAAGGGTGATCAGACACCTATTGAAAAAGAGTCTGTAGGACTGTTCATTACCCAGGTTTTCTGGCCTCGCGTTACTGCAGCCTGCCACAGACTTGATGTGCAAGCTTTACCCTGAATTGTTTCCAGCAGCTTTAAACATCTTCGTCAATGGGTTTCCAGTCATAGCCAAACAGCTTGAGAAGCGTAACTGCAGGTAGTCTGGCTAAAGTTAGAGTGCTGTATAAAATCTCCTCCTTCGGCCCAAACCACCATGCTTCGGGGATTAAAAACTGGGCAGAGATTACTTCGTTCATTTGCAATAGCTTTTGTGATAGAATACTATTATTACATCATTTCTTGTGTAAAAGGTGCTCCTGCTGCAAGGTGTCCAGCTACTTCATCAAACCAAGCGTATTGTCGTTACTGCAAAAATGTTTTTGGTCTGTCCTTGCTAAGAAGCAAGTACACACTGATGTGGTTCTGAGAGGGCACAGCCAGAAACAACCTACGCTTCCCCCCCCTCCATCGCATCGGCAATTAATAAGAATAGTCATATACTTTGCTAAATATTCATGCAGAACTGCTTTTGCTGTTACATCCATGTGCAAAGAAAACACGAGCAGTTTAAAGTCTTCAGCTACTTTCACTTGACACCAGCAGGAGCCATGTAAGCATATGGAGAAATTCAGTAATAGTGCGGACCTTGGTGATTTAGAGATTCCAAACTTTTTTTTTAATGACAAAACATACTGTTGAGAGGACAGCTGATATCACAGCTCGTCTGTTAACTTTAACAGACGTCTTTTCTCCTTGTCAAGAAAATGTCAGCTGAAAAGTTATGGTACAAATTAAAGCTTTTAAAAGTATTAAGACATTAATGCAAATAGACTGGCACAATAGTCATACTGAGAATTAATTGATGAGTTTGGGTGATACTTTTGATTCTAAAATACAGACATCCAATTAACTAGAAATACTTATTTTTTCTTCTTTTTTCTTTTTTTTTTGAGAGCTTTGAATTTGCTCACTTTTTCTTGTTTTCTTGATGCCTCACATTTTATTTTAATGTTCTGTTTTCTTTCTTTTTCATTTGTGGTTTCTTAACCCATATTACTTTCCATTACTGTTATCGTATATTGGAGCTGTGAAAAATACATAGAGGACTTGAACTTGATCAAAGTTACTGTAATTCAAACGTGTTCTCAGACCTCAGTCAACATTCGTGCTGTGTTTATGCCGGACTTGAGGCCTGCTCTATTTTACAAGCTCAGCGACTCTCCACCTACGGAACATTCTTGAAATCTGAAGTTCGCCGAGTTTGAACCTTTGGGCAAACCTGTGCATTTCCAATACCTGTGAAAGGTGGTGAATTAAACCTCTTTCATACAGCTCTAGTCTATGCAAATGCTATTATCCCGTGCAGTAATCTTGTATCTGAAATCTTCTCTTTGAAATTTGTTAGTGTATTGGAGGAGTAAATGCACCCCACTGTCCCTCATCAGTGCTGAATTTAAGTTACAAGTTATTTCTTTAATGTAGAGCTGAATAATGAAAGCTATTTATCTTGCTGACACGCAGGTGAATGAATGGTCCTGAACGAGTATTTTGCCCTTGTTAATGTTTCTAAAATGCATTGAAAAAGGAGGCCTCTTATCTTCCCATTCCTCCAAAAAGATACAGATTCCTCTTACTGCATTATGCCTGTTTCCAACAATAGTGCTGAAAGCATTAGTATCTTTTTTAATTCTGAACAATGCTAGTGAATAACCATGGCTTAGAGATTTGAGACATGGCCACTAATTCTTGAATCAAGCCAGTGTTTTCCTAGCTGTGTATAATCCATAAACTATGAAATTGAGCCTACCGTCTTTCTTGTCCAGCACAACTACTTTTATTTATTTTCTGTTTCTAAAAGCACTGTCTTTACATTAATCTTTCATGCATGAGGACTGCAAATATGTATCCTTAAAAGAGCTCTTTGTTGACTTAGCTCCTCTCCTAATAAAGTTAGTGGGAGGTTTATGATTGACTTCGGGGAGAGCAGTGTTCTGGTGTTACAGTCTACTGCTGAAATTCCACCCTTTACACACCACTGAGGTTAAGTAGCTGCCTCTTCCGAATGCATTAGCTCTACTCAATTCTTTGCCAGCATCATCAGCTTTTCACATTGCATTTGCCAATTTTTGGCTTTCTAGCAGATCCAAGGTTGGAAATGAGTTGTTTCAACTTCCTTTTTGAGAGGTTTTCTGTTTGTAGCTTAGGTTCCCCTGTTAGAATGAATATCCTGCATTTGCGTCAGGGAACGATGCTCATTCCAAGCTTTTGCCTGATTTGGGCTGCTTTGCTTTTTGAAAACCTGAACTTCAAACCAGCATTTCTGCAAATCTCTCCTCCTCTTCAGCGCCACAAAACAGTACTGATACGTGGCCAGAATGAGAATCGGGCTGCCTTCTCACAACATCTTGCACAACCACTGCTGCATGGAACTGCTTTCCTCTGTAAAACAGCAGAGGGATTTTGCTGGATGTGCGGAGCATAGCAGAAAGCATATTTTGTCATGGCTGCGTGCAGCCCATTTTCAGCAGGGAAGGTTTTGAATAAAAAGCAAAGCCATGACAATTCCTACGTTGGAAGTCATCCTACTTTTTTTTAGACAAATGCCACAGAATTCAAGAAACAATGATAAAATGTTTGCTGATTTAGACCAACAATAGAAATGCGTTAAAGATTTAACTCCGAGGTAGGTGCTTGGCAGTACTGAAGAGAAACTGAGCTATATCAAGGTTTGAGTTGAACCTTATGTTTAAACTCTGGAGTGCAGTAATTAAAACTTTGCCTGTAGCAAGTAATTCACTTGAGGTTAAAATAGTGCGTGCGTGTATGGAGGGAAGCACTGATTTGGGCTTACCTTGTTTTATGCAGTTTATATGTCTGACCTACGAAAAGCTAACAGTCCTACCTCTAAATCCAGTTCCCAATTAAAAACACCATTTGAAAAGCTTTAGGAGACCTGTGGGGCCCTTTTACAGAAGTTTCTGGTCCCATCCCCCAATGAACAAATTAAAAAATATTACCTGGTCCCCTGTTGGTCCTCCAGGCTGACACTGTGTTTTCATTAATACATCATTAGGGTAATGACATTGTGCTGATGTTTTTCTCCAAACACAGGAGAAGCCATCAGGAGCAACGAAGTTCTGTGCCTTTGCAAACTTAGTTATAAGGAAAATGTTTAAGAATGGATCATAAAGCCACCGAGCTTTTTCTTTTTATGTTTCTTTAGAATTGTCTTATATCCTCCCTTTCTGTACACATCTTTGTTTTGTTTTGTGTGAAACAAATGCATGACACTTAAATCAGATAACATCCCAGAAGCTGAGACTACATTCACTTAGAAGTTATGTAAGCCATTATAACAACCTGAAGGCTTTATGCATTTAGAAGTCACTTAGAATTAAAGTAATTAACTTATTGCTCTATCCTAAAATAAAAAAATAAATTTGTGTTTTATTATTTTGCAGGCAATCAGCTGTTACCTAATAGACAACAATGGATTTATTTTAGTGTCTGAAGACTACAGACAGGTAAGTGAAAGATTTTTATTCCATCTTCTCATGTAACAGATTCATGTAAAATTACTCGTTTTAGAAATAGGCCACTATCTTAAAATGTTAAGGAATTAGTAACATAAAATTTTAAAAGTTCCTTCAACAGAGAATGTAAGTTGTTTCTCACAGGAGCTCAGTTTCTCTCTCCCATTGGGGTAGGGTTTACTTTTACATTCATAAATGTTATTTTAAAGGGCTTTTTTTCTGCAGAAATGTCTGTCTTCTGTAAGACATTTTTACCCCAAGAAAAAAAGATTTTCTGTGGCATTTTTGCCACATGGAAAGGTTGGAGAGGGAGGTAGGACGCTGGGGACACAGAGCTTTTACATTCAGACTTGAGATAATGACGTTTTACAGAGCTTTCAGATGAGGAGTTTGTTTTCTGAAGTAGATTACAGTCACTGAAGGATTAAAACTAAGCACTCAGCATCACAACAGAGAGGACAAGGATCATGATTAATGAGAACATAATTAAAAATATTGATTTGCCTTGTCTTCATGGAAAATTATTGAAAAATGAATGTATAATTGCTCAATCTTGCAAGCCTTATGAAGGAACCATCACCTTTCTCATTAACTTTTGCCTGAAAACTGCTGGGATGGTGCCCCAATTATGCCAGAATTGTCTGAAGTTAAGTTTCTTATATGTATTGGGATTGTGAATAGGAATACCCCCGCTCCTACTTGCCCTCAGGTGAATAAAATTTATTATGACTACATTGGTTACTGAGAAACAGCTACCAGAAAGAGCTTCGCATGACTTGGAAGAGTGACTGGAGAAGAATAAAACACCCAAAGTGAATGGCAAAAAAAAAAAAGCCAAACAGCATTTTGCTTTTAAATGGGAAGCTTGAATCATTGAAACCTTAGATCTGACACTTGTGAAAGTAAAAAGATACAGCTATTTTTTACCTTGGCGTTGTGCAAAAGTAATTACATGTTTCCTCGTGACCCCTCTCCCCCGTGCTCCATTTTGGTTGAAACTTTGAAAAGTCTATTAGCACTTAATCAACAGGGGAAATACATTTTTTTTCTGAACCCATTGTCCCTCCAATGTGTACCAGAGCATTAACTGTTAAGCGTGTTATACCATGTAATGTAATAGTTATGCTTCATGATATGTCGTCTTATATGCAAAACTGAGCACCGAAATAGATTGTTGTGTTTTACTTTATTAAATTTATTGCTTCCATCCCTTTAGAACATCAAGCATGTTCTGAATATAAGTCTAGGATGTACCAAAAAAATAATATGAACTAAAAATATAACATTGCTTAAATATTAACTGCACTATCTTAGAAGCAGCTGTTTGGGGTTTTTTTCCTTGCATCTATCTATCAAATCTGTACTTTCTACTTAGTTGAGCAACGACCTAAGAAAAAACAAACATTGTAGAATAATCTTGATACACTTAAAACATTTTTGTCGCATTATTCCCCTTGTTGTTGTTATTATTCACAGGTACTTAATTGTGACTTGTGTAACTGACTGGCTAGTTGATAGTTGGCTACAGCCAATAAACATGATTACGAAGAGATTTTCCCTCTGGTAGGTTACCTGATACTGGCCATTACATAGTCCCGTGAAGAATACAGTGTGGACAACTGTTGGACCAGAACTAGGCTAGAAATGTGTTACGACCTAGTTTTTTAGTGACGATGGATCTAAGCCTAAGATGGACACTAAAGTTGTCTCTATGTTTATATAATGCTATAGTAAGATTTGATAATTACAATGGTGTATGTTTATTTTTATATATGTATGTATGTATACAGTCTATATAGTGGATAGAGAAGGGGTAGGGAAGTGTGATGACACATCATCAACTACTCACCTGTTTGGGGTTGCTTCAGCACTGTTTTTCTGTGACCTC